AGCTGCTCTTTCATATGCAGCATCCAACCCCAAATCCAATGCTTCTCTCAACTATCAACAACGAAATTTAGGCCACTGCTAACATAGAACAAACAAGGAACTACCTTTCATAATGGTCGGCCCACGAAGCCAGAGTTCACCCCTATTGCCCGGGGGCAACGCCTCCCCCGAATCTGGATCTACAATCCTCGCCTCAAGATTCGCCGAGATCCTGCCCACCAACCCCAACACTTCGGTCGCTACCGGAGTTGTAATCCCGCCCCCCGTCTCGGTAAGCCCATAACCCTATAAAAGAGAAAAACAAAACCACAAAACTAAAGAAACCCTAAGCTAAAATCCAACTCACAATTATAATTATATAAGGGCCGTCCAATGCAAATTTTCGATACGCTGTTTTGATAAACTCCTCGTTTTCGAGGTAGAAACCTGGATGATTTGGATGGCAGGGAAGCGAGCGCGGAAGCGTTCCGAAACCTCGCAGCCGAGCGGCGCACCGCCACATCCAAGAGACTCCAGAGATGAGAGGTCCCTCCGACCAACCTCATCGGACTTCAAAATTGCCAGCAGGAGCGGTGGCGAGACAGGCATAAAGGTTACGCGATACTTCTCCACTGCCTGCAACATCGCGGCAAAATGGAACCGTTCCGTAAGCACTGACGTCTGCCCCGATGCTGCCATCCGCAGCAGCATGAAGAAACCGAAGACGTGGAACAATGGAATTGTGAAGAGTACCACCGCCGGCTGGTCCCGCTCAAGCTTTGCAGAGTGGAGGAGCGCGATGAGGTTGCGGTGGGTGAGGACCACTCCCTTAACCCGCCCCGTCGTACCGGACGAGTAAAGGATCGCGGATGAGTCCGATTGTCTGACCACCGGTGCTGGCGGGAGAGGGGAATTAGGGGTTTGGATGAGTGATTGGAAGCGGGGTGAGTCTATGAGAATCGTGAGGAGAGAATCGGGAAGATTAGGCGCAGCGGCGGAGATAGCAAAGGCAATCTTCGGTCGAACGAGGTGAATCTGACGGGAAAGCTCGGAAGGGGTGCTGAAAGGGTTAGTTGGGCAGAGTACAGCGCCGATAGAGAGGAGAGCAAAGTAGAGGATCGGAATCTCGAGGCGAGCGGGTGAGAGGATGAGTGCCACGTCCCCGGGGGATAGGCTGAGGCGGGATAGAAGGTTGGCTGCAAGGACTCGAGCTTGAGAGAGGAATTCCGGGTAGCTGAGAGAGCGGCCAGATTCGGAGTCGATGAATGCGGGGTTAGTTGGAAGAGGGGTGGGTAGGAGGGATATAGCGAAGGAAGCTACTGAGAGTGGGAGGGACTCGCACGGAAGAGTGAACCGAGGGTAGAGGCTGTGGAATGTCTTCGTCGCAATGCAATAGCCGCTTCTGGGGTCAATCTCCGGCGCAGGCGTGGTCGCCATGACTGACTCTGCAAAACTGCTACACGCAGGTTTGGACTACAAAAAGCGAGGTTTTTCGGTGGCTGCACTTGTGGCCAGTTGTTTGCTGCGGGTAGGTGGTTGTGGCTGCAAATGGTGGTGGGTGGGTGACGACGGTAGAAAGATGATCGTAGATGTTATTGGCGACAACAACAAACAGGTAATGGTCGGGGCTAGCCAGATTATTTTATAATGTATTTGGAAATCAACAAAATCTAAAGAATTTAGAATATATAAGGTTATAAAATAAATGCTAA